ATATATATATGTAAAGAGAAGCTCACTCCAATGACTTTTTTGGGACGCATAAAGATTAATGAGCTCCTCATTAAAGTCAGGTGATCTCTGGATGAATTCCTGCTCAATAGATAGTGCGACCAGCACGTTCAGTCTTTCCTGTCCTATGTTGCTGCAGAGAAACGACTTGATCTTCTTCAATGTGCTACATTTCTGACTGCAGAAGTCATCGGGGTGGTGATGGCTATTTGATCTGTAACATTACATTAAAATAAAGATGGCATATTTAAAAAAAAAAAAGTTTACCACAGAGAATAAAATCTAAATAATTTAAATACAAATAAAATGTATGTATTATTATAGATGCAAGAATGTCTTTAAATGTGTATTTTATCTTCAAAGTATCCACAGAGGAAACTATCTGGGTCACATCCAAAAAAGTTCAATCTGGTCCTCTGGACATTCAAAAAAAACAAAAAACAAAACAAAGCAAAAAAATCTAGAAACGTTTCGTCTCTCATCCAAGTTTTCCTCAGTCTGAGGTGCTGTTTTCAGCTCAGTCTCTTAAATAGCACCTTCACAGAGTGGATCAACCAGTTTTGCTGCTGACAACCAAAACCAGCTGATCACATGCTCAAGAAGGACCATCAGCCTAACAATGGATCATTAGCACACTGATGGCTGTTTACTATTCACAGAGGGCTGAGTGATACTTGCAATCACAGCATTGTAAGAGGGGGACAGTTGAACCTGGAGGCTCCACCCCTGTTTAATGATGGACGATTTCTTTTCACAAAGATGGCCTCCTTTACTCCTCTCTCAAACCATCGTTCCTCTCTATCCAGGATGTGAACATCTTCATCCTTGAAAGAGTGACCGCTGGCCTGGAGATGAGTGTAGACCGCAGAATCCTGGCCTGATGATGTTGATCTTCTGTGCTGGGCCATCCTTTTGGCCAGTGGCTGTTTAGTTTCCCCGATGTAAGACTGATCACAGCCCTCCTGACACTGAACAGCATACACAACATTACTCTGTTTGTGCCGGGGGACTGGATCTTTGGGATGAACCAGTTTTTGCCGTAATGTATTTTGGGGTTTAAAAGCCACTGGGACGTTATGTTTAGAAAATAAACGTCTCAGTTTCTCTGATACCCCCTCAACATACGGAATGACCACTGGTCTGGGTCTGGGTTCCTCCTTTTCACCCGATGGCTGACTGGAGTCCTGTTTGGGTCACAGCTTTACCCAAACTTATAAAAAGAGACAGGAGTTTGGCAGCACGGGGAGACGGGGGTGTGGCAGGTGAAGCAGTTGGAGAGATGCAGCAGGAGTGGTGGAGCTCCAGAGTTTGACCAGGATAGCTGATGTTTGGGGCTTCCTGGTGAAGTTTGACCCAACCCTTGAGGGTTCAAGAGGACTTCATTTTCAACTCAACTAATTGCCACATGGGACAAGGATCTGTCTTGTTTCCTGAAGAGTCTTTGCGCTCCAGACCTGAAGGAAAACCTGGGAATAGAAACGCTGACCCGGTGCTTTTGTTTTTGTTTTAAAAGACCAAGACTGGTGAATGGGCCCCAACAAATTTATTTTTTTGTATTTTGATATTTTTTAGCTCATAACTGCAGACTTTTCATTGCACATTGTTATTATTATTGAGAGATCTCTCTTCCTCGTATGAAATAGGTGAAATTGATTTATTTCAGAAATTCTTTATTTTCCTACGTAAAGTCAAATCAGTGAGATGATTCAGTTTTGTTTGGAGTTAATTTTCATGGAATGTGTGAATGGCAGATTATTTTGAAGTTTCGGTCGAAACAGCGGATTTTTGTTTAGTAAATACAGCATGCCCCACCCAACTCTACTGTTCCTTTTATGACTCAGAATTACACAAGCTAGCTGAATTAGTAAACTGTGTTTCCCATATTAAGGCGTGGTTAGCTAACAACTGCCTTCAGTTAAATTCTAACAAGACGGAAACCCTGATCATTGCCCCTGAACAGAAAGTTCCTTGGATCAAACAACACCTCGATTCTCTGGGCTCCTCTTCTCAGCCGAACCTCAGAAACCTCGGTGTTCTGTTCGACAAGTCCATGTCTTTGGACAAACATTCAAAGCTTCTGGTAAAAAACTGCTTTTATCATCTGAGAAACATTTCTAAACTGAGGGCAATGTTATCCAGATCTGACCTGGAGATGATTATTCATGCTTTTATTTCTTCTCGTTTAGATTATTGTAATTCCCTTTTTACTTGTTTTAACAAAACTGCCGTTGCTCGTCTCCAATTGGTCCAGAACTCTGCTGCGAGGCTTTTAACAGGAACTAATAGAAGGGCTCACATTACACCAGTTTTATCTTCTCTTCATTGGCTGCCTGTTGAATTTAGAATTAATTTTAAAATCTTAGTTTTGACTTTTAGAGCTTTAAATGGTCAGGCTCCCCAGTACATCACTGAAATGTTGATTTCTTATTCTCCAGCCCACACCCTTCGGTCTTCAGCGCTGAACCTTCTTAAGGTTCCTAAGACCCGGTTTAAAACTCGGGGTGACCTGTCCTTTCAGGCTGTAGCCCCCCGCCTGTGGAATGCCCTGCCCCTGTCTCTCCGTGTGTACGTCTCTGTTGATTCTTTTAAAACGCAGCTTAAGACATTTTTATTTCGACACGCTTTTAGTCAAATGTTTTACTTTTTTCCAGCTGTTTTTACTGTTTTTATTAATGAGTTGTTATTATTTTTATTTTATTTTAAGCCTTTATTTCTTTATTGTTGTACAGCACTTTGTGATTGTATCTATGATAAGTGCTATATAAATAAAGTTTACTTACTTACTTACTTACCTGCACTTCTAAGCTGATTTGTCCAAGCGAGTTTGATTTTACTGTTGTTTACAAATTTATCATATTTCTAACCTTTGAAAAATAATTTAAAGAACTCTCTTGTGCGTGTATAAGCTCCCGTTTAGACATTGGCTTGTTACAGGTGTATTGTACAGCAGTTCCAATCAACGAGAAGATGGCAGGAGGTGCTGTACTCACTGCGATGAGCCCATGATTCTGACCAGTGCACGTTTTTATGCAGATTAAAGAGCATTCAGTTCAACACTCATCTTCTGGTCATCATTAAACACAACGCAGAGTAAACTATAAGTAGAATAAAAACGAACTGACAGGTTGACATTATTTGGACCGAGTTGAATTATTATCCAGCCAAGTTCAACATGGTTACACAGCATGGTTTTCTCTTTGTTGGATTTGAATATCCAGGTCTGTCCAGCCCCAACCTCTTCACCTCCAGTTTTTCCTCAATATATATTAAGGAAAAGGGATTATTGATTAAATAATCCACCTCGTTTATGCTAATATTGCTTGCCATCACGTTTACTCAGTCTACACCAAACCATGCCCACATACACTCGTGCTCGGGCCACGTTATTGTAGTCCATTCTCATTGGATGGATCCTGTGGCCGTGAGCTGACCCTGGGCTGAACAACATTAGCCCCAATGAGCCACAAACTGAGGAGGTGTGACAAGACATCTGTCAATCATTCTGAACCATGACGGAACAGTAACAGAACGGGGCTGTCAGAATTTAGCCCTTTGGAATGACCCTGGGATTTTCCCCAGGCGGTTTGACACCAGTTTGTTGTAAATTTAACAAAATGTGACATTATTTCTAAAAATGTATTTTTAAGTTGTTATTTTTAAGTTGCTTATTTTAAAATCTTTATTGTAAATGCCAGGAGGGAGGGCTTAGCCCTCCTAGCCTATTGATACCAGCCATGACTGCATACTATAAATATCTTTGAATATTTTTTTGCAAATAAACATAATGGCAGCAATGAGTTGTAGTACAACTACTGCATTCTGGGGCACATTTTGGCAGGAATTTCATAACATTTCAGTCCAAATACTGTAATTGTGTGATGCAGCACTGATGTTGAGGTTTGAATGATCAGGTTGGCATGAACCCCTGTGAAATTTTAAAGATTTAACATATTCTAGGATTGCAAAATTGGAATTTAGTTTAAAAATGTTATGCTATGATTGAGAATTGATTTTTAAAACTAAATGAACAGTTTTTATTCTGTTTTTATTTTGTTTTAGGAAATGGTACTTTAATTGGAGCATCAGCCAATGTTGTGTGTGCAGGAATTGCTGAACAACATGGATATGGCTTTTCCTTTATGGAGTTCTTCAAGTAAGAAATTTCTTATTTAACAGTACATCTTATAACATTTGGTTGTAGACAAAAAGTTACTCTGTACTTTGCCTGAAAAGTTGTATTAAAAGGTTTTCTGTTGTTAAAGTTTTGAAATGATTTACTTTTAACTAAGTTTAGATAGTGTAATAGCTAGATTAGATTAGAGTAGACTAGATAGCTAAGATTAGATACAGATTAATGTTTGTCATATTGGTGAGGTTTTTGTAAAGATCCAAGAATACATATCCTGATGCATGCTCAATAATCCAGGTAGAAAAATCTAAAAAAGTTAAATCTGGTCCTCTGGACATTAAAAACAAAAAAATTAAAGCTACAAGCAGCATTGAAGGCCCTCGCAGCAAAGCTCCGCTCCGGCCTTACGGCGACCGCTGGAGCTCCAGCGACTCCGCCCAGTCGCCATTGCAAACGCTATCACTCCCATCCCACGCCCTTTCACCAGGGTACGCATTCGCCGAACCTTCGACATCACCAGCGACCGCTCCAGAAATGCCTCCCAGTCGCCGTCATGAATGCTCTCATGCCATTCCTGCACGCGTCCACCAGGGTGCGCATATGCCTAAACTTTGCAATCGCCTTCCGCCCATATCAGTATGAGAAGGGGCGCAGGTGAGTCATATGTTAAACCACAAAATCAATGTGTTTATACGTGTTCACCGATTATGCACAAAAAATCTGGTTCTGATCGTATGATAATTCACTGAGACATAACTTGGAATATTCTAGCGGTCGCACTTGAGTCAAATGTTAAAGAACGATACCAATATGTCTAAAAGTGTTCAATGTTAAAGAACACTACCAATGTAGATACAAGTACTCAATGATGAAGCACCAAAAATCTGGTGTAGATAGGATGATGTATCAACCTAGATATAATTGTTGGAATAATCTAGGGGGCGCACTGGAGTAAAATGTTAAAGAACATTAAAAATATGTGTACAAGTGCTCATTGATTATGCACCAAAATCTGGATCAGATCAGATGATGTATCCTTGAGATATAACTGTTGGAATAATCTAGGGGTGCACTTCAGTCAAAAGTTAAACAACAATACCAATGTGTCTAGAAGTGCTCAATAATGACACACAAAAAATCTGGTACTGATCAAATAATATCTCATTGAGATTTAACAGTTTGAATAATCTAGGGGGCACACTTGAGTCAAATGTTAAAGAACAATACCAATGTGTCTAGAAATGCTGACAGATGATGCACATAAAATCTGGTACAGATCGGATGATGTATCACTGAGATACAACAGTTTGAATAATGTAGGGGGCTCACTGGAGTCAAAAGTCAAACAACAATACCAATGGGTCTATAAGTGCTCACTAGTGACACACCAAAAATCTGGTACAGATCGTATGATATATCACTGAGATATAACTGTTGGAAGAATCTAGGGGGCACACTTGAGTCAAATGTTAAACAATACCAATGTGTCTACAAGTGCACACTGATCACTCACAATAAATCTGGTACATATTGGATGAAATTTCACAGAGATATAACTGTTGAAATAATCTAGGGGCCACACTGGAGTCAAAAGTTAAAAAACAATACCAATGTGTCTAGAATTATTCACTAATGACGCACCAAAAATCTGGTGCAGATCAGATGATATATCACTGAGATATAACTTTTAGAATAACCTAGGGGGCGCACTCAAGTCAAATGTTTAACAACCAATGTGTCTAGAAATGCTCACAAATGACGCACCAAAAATCTGGTTCATCTAGGATGATGTATCATTGAGATATAACTGTTGGAAAAATCTAGGGGGTACACTTGAGTCAGTTGTTAAAGAACAAAAGCAATGTGTGTACTAGTGCTCACTGATCAGGCACAATAAATCTGGTACAGATCGGACGATGTATCACTGAGCTATAACTGTAAGAATAATGTAGGTGGCGCTGTGGAGGCGATTGGCCACTTATCATGGATGCCTGTTCAAGGTGTGGATAATGATTGATCACAGTGATTTTGGTGCACCTCGGCTGAAATCTGTATATTTTAGAGCCAAAAATATTGCAACAGTGTCACTTCTTGATTTGCCACGCCCACATCCTCGAGCAAAAACGTTTTGCTCTTTAAATCAAGTCAGACCATCTTATCTATCTTCTAACACAGGATCATCCTGATTAGGTCAATGGTGTCAAAGAGGGAGCATTCCAAGTAAAAAAGAGACTTCCTGTTTCGATGGGGCCGGGCTTTGATGACATCCAAATATGACAGTGGATCGTTGAACATCCAACAGGGATGAGTCATGCCAAGTTTGGTGCATTTCGATCTTTCAATGTGAAAGTTATAGCGTTTGGAAATTTATGGCATGAAGCGCAACTTTGAGGTCTGGCCACGCCCCTTTAATATAAACAAAAATGCAAGCTTTTGATAACATTTACTCCCCAATGTGTTAAGAGCATATTAACCAAGTTTGAAAGCAATCATTCAAAATCCCTAGGAGGAGTTTGTTAAAATTTGCCATTAGAAATGTCCCAAAATGACCCTTTGACCCAAAATGGCTGACTTCCTGTTAGTTTTGGACCAGGGCTCCAAGAGACTTTTTCATAGGTCCTGAGACAATTCAGATGTTCACCGATTTTCAGAGTTATCGGTCAAAAAAGGGCTTGGGGCTAAGGTTTTAAAATATTCTAGGGGGCACTGTAGAGGATATTGGCCACGTATCATAGCTTCCTGTTCAAGGGGTGGATAATGATTGATCATACTGATTTTGGTGCACCTCGGTTAAAAACTATGGAATTTAGAGCCAAATGTATGGCGACTGTGTTACGTCTTACTTCGCCATGATGCGCTGCCCACATGCTCCACCCAAAACTGGCAGTGTTGGAAAGCAAGTTACACCAACATGTCTTTGGTCACTGGACACACTATCATGCTGATCAGGTAACAGGGGTCAGATAGGGATCATTCAACGTAAAACTTTATACTTCCTGTTGTCAGGGGGCATGGCTTAAGTGATGTCATGATTTGACCATTCATTCTTGAAGGGGACCGGATGTGGATCAATCACTGAAGGTTTGATGTCTCAGACAGTTTTTGTGTAGGAGCTATTAGCATTTTGTTTTTCATGGCTACAGATATCAAACTTTGAGGTCTGGCCCCGCCCCTTCAGCATGCTCCGAAACGAACTGTTTAAATTACTTTGCGTTCCCCATGCCTTTTGACCAAAATGGGCAAGTTTGAAACCGATTGAGCAAAATCCCTAGGAGGAGTTTGTTCAAATGCAGAGGTTGTAAACCATCAAAAAGGTGTGAAAATTAGGCCAGCATTCCAAAATGGCCACCTTCCTATTTATCGTACAACATTGGTGCCAGAGGGTTTTCTGTGCATCTTGGAGAATTGGACAAGCTTACCAAATTTCATGTTTCTATGACAAACTAAGGTTAAGGCGGAGGGTATTTTGAAAATTTCTAGGTGGCGATCTTGATCCGTTTCTGTTGCAATTTTTGCCACGCCCTTAAAATACATAATTTTTCACCAGTCCTGATGTGTCCGCCAAATTTGGTGCCTTTTGGAATATGTCGAGGCCCCCAAAACGCCAAATCATTTGGCAGAAAAAAATGTAGCTCGGGCCTGAACAGAGCGATTACAACAGGCCTTCGCAGCGCTTTGCTGCTCGAAAGGTTTCATCTTTCATCCGAAAGACTTCCTCAGTCTGAGGTGCTGTATTCACCTCAGTCTTATAAATAGCACCTTATCATAGTGGATCAACCAGTTTGCTGCTGACTGCCAAACCAACTGCTAAGATAATCAACGAGGACCATCAGGCTAACGATGGATCATTAGCACCCTGATGACTGTTTGCTATTCACATGAGGCTGAGTGATACTAGCAATCACAGCATCGTAAGAGGGGGACCATTGAACACGGAGGCCTCCACCCCTGTTTGATGATGGACGGTTTCGTTTCACAAGGATGGCCTCCTTTACTCCTCTCTCAAACATCGTTCCTCTCTATCAAGGATGTGAACATCTTCATCCATGAAAGAGTGACCGCTGGCCTCGAGATGAGGGTAGACTGCAGAGTCCTAGTCTGATGATGTGGAGCTTCTGTGCTGGGCCATCCTTTTGGTCAGTGGCTATTTAGTTTCCCTGGTGTAAGACTGATCACAGCCCTCCTGACAATGAACAGCATACACAATATTACTCTGTTTGTGCCAGGGGACTAGATCTTTGGGATGAACCGGTCTTTGCCGTAACGTGTTTTGGGGTTTAAAAGCCACTGGGACGTTATGTTTAGAAAATAAATGTCTCAGTTTCTCTGATACTCCCGCAACATATGGAATGACCACTGGCCTGGGTCTGTGTTCTTCCTTTTCACCTGATGGCTGACTGGAGTCCTGTTTGGGTTTCTTCTTTGCTTTCAGGAAGGCCCAGTTAGGATATCCACATTGCTCTAGAGCCTGTCTTGTGTGGGATTTCTCCTTCTGCCTGGCTCCTGAGTTAGCGGGGATGCTGTCTGCTCTGTGGTACAGATTCCTGATGACTCCTAACTTGTACTCCAAAGGGTGATGGGAGTCAAACTGCAAATACTGGTCTGTGTGGGTGGGATTGCGGTACTCCTCAGTTTGCAAATGTCCTCTATCAGAAATTGAGACCTCACAGTCCAAGAAAGCCAGTCTGCCATTTTTTACATCTTCTCGTGTGAATTTGATACCATCTTAAAACAGAGGAGGAGGTCTCAGATTTCAGCTTTAAAAAACCTAAAATGTAGCTTTAGGCCTGATACCCAGTCAGTTTCACTTAAATCAAGAACTCCATTCATTCAATTCAGTTTATTTCAATTCACTTTATTTATATAGCGCTAAATCACAACAAGTTGTCTCAGGGCACTTTACAGGAACATTCACATACATAAAAGCCAATTAGTAAAGTTCTCTATCTAAGGAATCCAGCAGACAAGTTGAATCTTGACTTCATTCCAATCTCTCATCCTGAGCAAGCACAGTGGCAACAGTG